ATATATAATAATATAATATGTTTGAGACCCGAATTCGATTCTTAATTTATGGGACATAAATTTTTCAAGAGGAGGATAAATGTAATAACCGAAAATATAATAAAATAGAATAAGGATAAATAATTAGCCGAAGGATAAATAATTAACCGATGGGTAAATAATTAGCCAATAAAATTATATTTATAGTTTAGTTTAGTATAACGAGATAGTCATATGATAATAGATCTTTTATTTTCTTAAATTTTTATTATTAGAAAAGATAGAAGTATTAGAAATGATTTTTCTTAAAATGTATAAATACAAGTAGATTTAAATAGGAAATTACGCAGTCAAATTTTGGCTCAAATAAAATAATATTAAAATATTAATTATTAAAAAGTTATTCAAATATGAATATGCTCATTGAACGCTTGAGAATTAATTAATATTATATTATTAAGTTCGAGAATTTAACATAATATTTGGTAAGAAAATAATATTTTGTAATTTTTGTAACTAATTTTTATTTTAAACCAAGTATAGATATTATATGAACTCAACACGTCGGTGGCAACATACGATATTTTATTTTAATATCCTATGGGCGGCATGTCACAACCTTTCTTTAGTCATATTGTTTCCAACGAACTAAAACTCATAGCTATAAACATTTCTCCTAATCAGGTTATTACATATGAAGAAGACAAGTGTGTCATGAAAAACTTAGACAAAATTAAGAGCATTTTCACTAATTCAATCTACAATTATAACCCTGATCATCTTTACGTAATGATAAGTTTAGATATCTGGAAAGAAGTACCATTTATAAAAAAACTATATACTGTATGAGAAGTACGAGAAACAATTCCAATGGAAGATCATCCACGCAATGGTAACATTAGGCAAATTGAAGGACAAGTCACACAAGTATTTTTCAGAACTTTATAATATTAAAAAACAGTCTATTAATCTTTATAGGACACATGATGGAAATACTAAAGAAGAATTAATTTGAAATGATTCCATACTAGAGTGTATTATATGGGAAAAGTTTTATAGAATCAATGTTAGTATTATTGACGAAGTTAAACATGAATAGTTACAATTCATCTTTTTTGTGTTGTATTACCAATAAAAAAACATTGATATTTACATACAAAAAAGGATAGAGGCTCACAATATTGAATGATATTTTGGATAAAATTATTTCACATTAGTCTACTACTTTAACATAAGGTACGATTCATCATTTTGGAATATTGTTTTTTCATTATTAGAAATTTATATATGATCAAGGGTTAACATTGTTGCATAGAAAATATGATATGTAGATTACACTGCAATAAATTCCATGTTCATATACTCTTTCTCATTTATTAAGAGAACGCAAGAAACAATTTAAAATATATCTAGTATCTGCTCAATGGACAAGGTGGACAAATAATTTCAACCATCAACAACAGATAAAAAAAAGAATCCTTTAGTATACGAGGAACAACAGATTTAATTCAGCTGGAATACCGCCAAATCATGTATGTATTGTTTATAAAGGGAATCATCTATTAATTTATCATGTTCTTCAGAACAGAAGCTCACTGAATATATTTATTTGCATACATGCATCCTATTAAAAAAGATTAATCCTATTAGAAAAAATAACATTTGTATTCAGAAAACATGAACTTTATTAATCAGGTACTAATTATCTTTCGTTTGAAAGTTTTCTCTTCTCTGTTGTAAATTAACCAAAATATGTTATCAGATGTATAAGCCGAGTAGTTACTCTTATTCCAATGCAACATATATTTTACATAGGACATATATAGAAATAGGTTTTACTGATAGTTTTGCAAAATATGATTATGTATCGCATCAGATAATTGCATGCAATAAAATGATTTATTTATTTTATTGATATATTTTTTTAAGTATAAGATGACATGTAATTTACAAATATTGCTACAAATAGCTATATAATACTTCCATAATTAAAAATTTAACCCCTCCAGTCTGAAAACACTTATTACTCAAAGAAAGTAGAAACCTGTCACTAGTAATATCTGTTATAGGATCTTTTGTACGTAATTCTAAAATATTTAATAATAAAATGAAATTCTTTGCAATTTACAATTGATAATAGAATTTTAGCTAAAATTTTTTTAAGGAAATTTATCAATAACGATGCTTCTTTTTCGAATTTTTACTTTTTTTTTTATTCTTCTTTGTGAGAGGATGGATGTTGTGTTTTCCTGGTAAATCTAAAAAAAAAGTAACTGTTATAAAAATTTAAGATAAAAAATGATCAAATTTACACAAATACTAACCCTCTCTGGTCTTTATCTCAAATACAAATTCACCTGCTGCTTTCCATGCTATAGCTGGATTTATCTGGAAATCTTTTTTCAAATAATCCCCAAGTGGAAATAACAAATATTGCATATGATCCCATTCAAATAAACGGCCATAACAATCTAAAAAAAGCATTCCACAATAAAGTTCCCCAATGATAATGATATGGTTGAAACCATACTCTTTAACACGTTTTATATATACAATAAGATTTTCTAGAGGTACTTTAATTTTGATTTCAAAACCGATAGAAGATGAAACACGGCAAATATCAGATTCACATGCGATCATCTCAACCAATATTAATGAATTTTTTGGATCGGTAAGAACCTCCAGCATTTCATCATCCTTGCTGTTCATTTGCATTTGAGACATAGAGGTTTGATCATCCGAGTCTCCATCAATATCGTCTGGAAGTACAAGTTTACATGATTTTTTTGGAATTTGGGTCCATGGAGTGCTGTCCAAGCCATAATCTCTGCACAATTTGCCCAAAGATGCTTGCATGATTCGTACTCTCTCTGTGTTAGGACAGCATCCAAATGGCACCCTTTTAATGCTTTGACTGTTTTCATTCTCGATTCCGCTGCCAATTTGTTGTTTTGGTATATAATCTTCTCCATTTCTTTCCGTTCTTGCCATGTAAGTGTCTTGTCTATCTTCCCAGTACAGAGAGACGCTCTGAACATACATTTTATCATCTTCATTTTCTGTTTGTGATGTTTCTTCTTTTGTGATTTTTTTGTTGAAATTGTTATATTTATTGTGGTTGGAATACCCTCTGTATCCAATTCCATCAAAGTCATCTTGTTGGATAGGGAAGCCAGTTTTTTGAGAAGAAATGTTTTCTGGGCTTGGAAGTTTAATTTCTTGGAATTTTGAAGTTGACTTGTCACATAATGCAACCATAATAGGCAAATTGCATCCCAAACTGTTATGATTAATATCGGGCGAATGTGAGGTGAAGCCACCATTCTGCCCGTTGGACCAAACGGAATTACAATTTCTTGTTCCCTACATAAAATATGATTCATTCACTTTTTCTCTTTTGGAATAGTGCAAAAGTGCAAAAAAACTAAAAAAAACCAACATGTAAAGTTTCATGAAATCTGTTATCAACTTTCTCACCCATGATTCTTTTGAATGATCTAACCAAGAATAAGCGTATAAAAAAAAAAAAGAGTAAGATGGAATGTCCAAAATGTCCGTCATATGTGCTTAATAACCATCATATATATATAAATTATTAAGTCTAACCAATTTTCTGTGTTATTAAGTACGTCATTAATTAAAGCAACACAAATTGTAATGACTAGCAATGATCACGTGATAATGAAATATCAAAAGAACGTTGTAGATAAGTAGTCATATCAAAAGCACGTTATATTAGCCAGAATTACGTGTGTATAATGCAGTGGATTTCTAAATACTTAGTTTAAATGTAAATCATGTGATTTATTTTTTCGACCACAGGGATAATTATATCATTGCATTAGCTGTATACGACCCCCCAAATGTCTAGCACACCACAACATATTCACGTTAAAAAATAAATTCATGGCAAATTAAATCTTTTTAGTCTATTTTTTGGAATCCGATCACCAATGTTGATTAGAGAGACTTTCTTGATTAGCATCTGCTTCAGCCTGCGCATCAAATAACACAACAAAAGTTTGCTGGTTATTATTAAAAAATTTGCGTCCCCAATTTGGATTATTAAATAAATTAGCTACTTGTGTATACGCGTCTGGACCTTGGAAAAAACATTTATAACTACCAGTCCGATAGTTATAATAATGAATATAACCTTCAAAGACTCCAAAAAATAAACTTTCCAGACAAGGTAAAGAAATAGTTTGTCTACAAGACTAAGAAAAATGATCTTTTAGTTTACCTTGAATAACGTGAACAAGCTGTGCTTTGAACTCGTTTATTGCTTCTAGAGGTAATGTATACAACCCTTCACGTCGCGTATTGTATTTTTGTACAATAGTTTTATGTCGTGTTAAACCAGATTTACTTCTGTATGAGGCCTTACAAACCGTACATTCATGTAAAGTGGGGGAAGTAGTTGGTGAAGGAGGTGGAGTGGGAATAGGATTTGTTTGATTACTTTGATAGAAACTTTGAGAAAAGAAATTAACAAAAGTGTACATGTTTTTTGCGAAAAAAAATATTTAAAAAATTATATAAAATAGCAATGAAAACTTTTAGCATTTCAATATTCTTACTTGTCAAAAACACTTGGTCAAAGGTTGGAACGATTGGTTAGACGTTAAAATATGTTAAAATACGTTAGAACGATTGGTTTAATCATAAAAAATTTTTTCTCCTCGTGTACTTGCATCAGCTTCGCAAATCACAGCTGAAATCAGCTGATCAGTGGCCTTAAAAAAGGCCCAATTACGATGATACGCGCATATGATGGGAGAATTTATCTCGGGTAGAGAAAGAATATGGGGGTGAGAGTGTAGTTAGTAATAGTAGTGATAGAAACGAATTAGCCTTGGAAATTTATCGGAAATGTGAGAGAGCAAAGAATAACTTGATGCTTTCGCTAGTTATTTATCTGAAAAATCAATAAAATTTAGCCTCACTTTGGCATTTATTTTTTTCTGAAAAATTTTTTGTTAAACATATCGGCTGATTGGGGAAATTGGGCCTTAATTGTTTCCCTAAACTATTAATATCACGTAATCTGATTCTCTAAAAACTCATTAAATTTATCATATCATCATAATTACAAAAAAAAATATAATTTTTTTTACCACAACTAACCATTTCTATTAGATAGACAATAATAATTTTTTTCCGAAAAATAATTTAAATTGAATAACTTGAAATCTCTCTTTTTATTATGTATATTTATTATGTAAATCACGTCTAACCCATTGTTTAGAGTATTGATGCGAGTATATATATAATAAATGTAAAGTGGTCACCAGAAGTATATTTAAGTGGCGTTAGTTTAATTTATTGGCTGACAATTGATATGACGGTCCCTCTTACTGATCGCAAAAATATCCCCAAAATTTTAGGGACTTCCTCTATCAGAAGTATAAAAAGACCCACCCAAAAATTTAACCTGAATTTTTTGATTACCTTGGTAAAACTCTTAAAATCCTCCAAGACATTCCCAGTACAAAGAAAAAAATTGGCCTTCAATATCATTTCTGAACGAAATCATGTCCATTAACAATAAACATAAAGGGGTAAGAGGTATTTTTCGATTTTTTGCATTGTCTGGCGCGATAACTTTGTGTTTTTTTACTTTATGTCCAAAACAGGTACATAAATATTTCGACTATAAGCCGTCCGAATAGAACATCATTGAGTTTTTAAAGGAATGCGAGGTGGAGCCATTCGACCGAAAGATAGACCGTTACACTAAGGACTTAGAGAACATTGCTAATTTTGAAACAGGTGGCAGGCGCGAAAGAGCGCAGATATTGCTTGATAACTATAGGGAGGCGAGTATAGAGTTTTTTATCATTAATAGCAAATTAAATATAGGAGGAATTTGGTTTGTGACAACGGCTTGCTAGGTCGTACTGTTACGAGGCACAGATGGCTTGCTAGGTTGTCTGTCGCTCAATATTCCGATATTCCGTCAGGGCTCAGGTGGCTTGCTAGGTTGCCTGACGTTCAAAGGCTGATAGCTGATTTGATGGGATGGTTAATGAAAGGAGAATTTTACATAAGTTCGTCAAGAATATCGCTAATTAGCTAAATCTTACATTTTAGGGCGTTCGGCTAGATTATCATCTAGCAAAGGCATGGGATAGTGGACGATCATATAATCAAATTCACTGTCACCAACCGACATTTATGGACGGTGGGACTATTAATGCTGTAAATGGAATTGTAAATGGGGCTATAGCCGGTGGAACTTTCATTTCCTGACGGTACGAAGATTACAAAGCCATCACCTATAAATTATGTTGAAGGTGATGAAACCGATGATGGGATTCCTTCGAAAGAAGCTAATGACTATAGCGACGATGATGAAGAGGCTTTACCTCCAGAAGACTCTCTTTCTTTTGCCCTTTCAAACTCAAAAGTTTGGACTTTGCCTTCGGGAAAAAACGTCGGTGACATCTATTCCAAAAAAATATCAGAAAACGCACGCACAGTAAAAAATAAGAAAAGACTTACGGCAATCGAAAAGGCTATATTGCGATACGGCGCCTCGAGGATAATTGATTTATCCGCTCACATGAAAAAGTGGTTTTGCGAAAACGACAAAAAGTTCATTAAGAAAGACTACGAATCTATGTTGCGAGTTCCAGAAATGACAGAAGAGGAGAATTCATTTGTTCTAAAAGTCAAGGATGTATGAGTTTTGTTTTTCTTAAATTATCTTATTTGACTATATGGATGCATATACTTATGAATTCATTACTCTATGTAGATGGTATATAAAGGACACGTAAGCCAGGCATATAAGTACTGTACGGAAATCCATTCAAGTTCAATCGAAGATAGTTACTTATATAAAATAAGTAAATATATGGAGATTTGTGAGTTATTTGATTGCTATCTAAGATATTTATTTTTTCGTGATTCTTATCCTCACTATTCAACATACACAGCATTTACAAGAGCAAAGACCAAGAAGATATTTTAGATTTTACCACAAAAAGTGCACACACAGAATTAGACGTAATCCTAAAAGCTTGTGCGTACATTGTCGAGGGGCTTAACAAGAGCCTCACAATTTATCCAAGATGGTTGGTATAATATTGTTTGCTTTATATTCAAAATAATATAGCCATTTCACAAGTCATAATTTATAATTTATGCATTCAAGGGGCGAATCATTTTGTCCCTTAAGTAGAAGTGCGGATTATATTAATGGGCGCAAATGTGACGTTCGTTTCATGACAATATTAGGAGTCGATGTGGGAGAATGGGAGTTTTCCGCCAAGGCTACAGCAACAAAAAAGATTGGTGATCGTTGTCGTTCGGCCAGAATAAACCAATCTATATTGAATGGTTTATTAGAATACAATCTCGATGACAATCAGGTCAAGGATATCCGAGTTCCTTTCTTACAATTTGCCGGAACAAACGGACAATTATTGATTGAAGACCTGATGGAAGGTTTTTATGTCGTTTTACCCGGACCTAAATTTGAGTTACCGACGAAACTCAAGAGTATTGGAAAATTAAAGACATGTATTGGCGTAATTAAATTAGTTATGGTGAGCTTATGAATTCTATTTGTCATCAAAAAAATTTTTTCCGGGACATAATGTCTCAGAAATTTCAGTCACATGACTTTGATCATTACAGTTTCAAAGTTACATGAACCCGATCATTAACATAATCTATAATAATATTTTGAATTCTGCATCACTAATCTATTATAATATATTGCGCAGGAAATGTATGTCAAAACATGCAAAACAATAGAAAATGTAGAAACATCACATAACGATTTCGATGATATTTTCGATGTTGATGTTGATGATGAAGACAAGTCTATCACTCATAATAATAATAAATACAATTATATTTGTAAACCGTGGTGGAACCCTAAAAAAAGTAATAGTCCGTAATTTCTTAGGGTGCATTTTATTGCTATCTGCTTTGCTTTTCTCAGAATTCTTCTTCCGTGCAAGTAAACTTTGTTTTTATCTTTTGAAACTTAGAAAAAAAAACAGCAAAGGATGAATCTAAATATCTCTAAAGGAAGCATTAAAATATTCTTTCTTTTTCTATGCTTTTTGCTTATATCACGTCTGAATACCTACTTTTTTTCTAATATGTATATCAATCAAAATTAATAAATTTTTAATGTGAGTTTTCAAAGAGAAAATTGTATGCTGTCATGAACTAAGTGACCGGTGTTCCAAAACAGAACGCGCACGTGATTTTTAATCCGGATTAACTGATGGTTTTTTTCAGATCTGCACCTACTATAATTTAAATAGATGGGCATCGTATGATCACAATGATCACAATCACTTTATTTTTATTTCAGAATTTTTACGTTTATTATGATCATATAGTAACATTAATAAATTATATATATAACTTCAGTTCTGGTAATTGCCGATCAGCCTGCGTAACCTTAAGTTGTACCCCCGTTATTTATCTATCCCCTAGATAAAAGAGAAACGTATTTTGCTCTGGGAGTATTACAAGGAAAAAGTATACTAAAATGCTGACATATATTGTATTGGAATTATTATGGTGGAACTTTCATCTGGAATTCCACTATTTGTTGATCAACCACACGATACAAAGCTTGCAATTTGTAAAGGCTTAAGACTGGAAGTTATTATATTGGATTAGTTACTGAATGTTTCCGTGTGAATCCTTTTAAACGTCCAAATACTGAATATTTAGCATATACGTTCAATAAATGGTGGACTTTCCCTCAAGAAACAATGCCTTATTTATTGCTTTTCTTGATGCTGATAAAATAATACCTGAATTAGGTATTAGTTTTAATTTTAATAGACATTTTGATGCAATTTATATAAGTCATCCTATCATCTTTGAAAACAATAATTCTGATTCCCCTGACGAAACTTTAAATTACTTATCACCAAACATGATCAATCAAAAAGTAATTTAACAATATGTTATTATTATATCATCTTCAAACCTTTTTTATTATTGCCTTTTGTTTTTCTTTTGTCCATAAAAAAAAAAATAAAATGAACTTTTAAATACATCATAATTTGTCAATTAGTTTTTCAATAAACTATTATTAATGTAAGATAAATGAAAAGTGTTAAAATTTATTAATAAACCAGATCATCACCTAATCACATTTTATAATCTGGACATTCTTACATTACATTTTTGGATACTTCCTTATCTATACCTTCAACTAAACATGGACCACTCAAATAAACTTTACCTTTTTCATTAATAACAGTTAGATGACCTCCCCTTACTTTAACTGTGACCTTACTCACGGCTTGGTCTATAAAACCTAAACGCTTTGCCAAAGCAACACTACTTGTTGAACCACTCCCACAAGCCGGAGTCAATCGATTAATACCTCGCTCAAAGGTGAGTACATTAATTGTCGATTGGTCAATATTCAAAACTCTATTTAAATTTATCCCGATTGGAAACTTGTTCGGTTCTTGATTAAAAGAACTTCCAATTCTAATCAATTCCTTATCATCAATTTTATCAAAAGTAACAAGATGAGGCTCTGACGTATTAACGTAATGCCAAGTAACATTACTATGAATGAACTTTCCTTCTTTATCTAAAATTCCTTTCTCAATAAAATCTCCAGCTGGATCATGATACAACGATTCGCCCATTTCAACAAGATATTCAACATCTTGTTCATCCTGTTCATGTTCACCTCGTTCAAGTAGTTCATGCAACCAACCATCGGTTGAAATAATAAATTGATTATACAATTTTCTATAATGATGAAAGCAATATTTTGAAACAGCTCTGGCTCCGTTACCACAAAATCCGTCACCTGGTTCATAAACATACATCCTCATTAAGAGAACAGAGTTTAGGTCATGAAGCTGAGTTGGAATATGTTCTTCATTATTGACTTTCGTGAGAACAAGGCAAGAATCGATTTTTTCAAAACCATATGATTTATGATGTTGACGAATAATGTTTTCATCAAAATCATGTTCGTATTTGTCTAAATAATCGAAAATTAGAAAAGTATTTCCTGATGCTTCGGCATATATTGGTTTATATTTCTGATCCATGTTCGTAATTTGATTATTTTCAATTTTTTTATTTTCATTTTTTAGAAGTTTATTTTATAGAGAAAAAGGGGGCGTTGTGATCGATCATCATATTAGATTAAATTGATTTATTTTTTATTTTAGATTAAACAAACACATGAGATTGTCATTTTATAATCGATAAGATCCATGTATTACTGTTATGGTTGTAACTACCCCACGCAAGAATACCAAAAAAATAACTACCCCAAGATTTGCCAAGAACGCCACCAAAAAATCTTCGGTAACATGACTTTTGTGCATCCAATACTAAATATGGTAAATGCACAATTGCTTTATTTGGTAAAATAAAAAATATGATAATAATCTTTGAAAAAAAATCTCTGACGCAAAAAAAACCCAAACGCAAAAAGCAAAAAATATTTTCTTTAATTTCAAAAAAAAAAATGGAAACTCTTGAAGGTTAAGTTATATTCTTATTACTTTTTCTTTTAGCAAATAAATATAATAAATATAATGATTTAACGAAATAGCTTGCAAATGTTTTGCTTTTTTTAGGTCCCATTAAAAAAAAATATATGAAAAGTATTAGAGGTTTTTATAAAAATTTTAAACAAATTCTTTTTTAACCGTATTTTCGAAATTTAATTATTTTTATTTTATTAAGAGATATGATCGTTGTCAGTTATTGTATTTTAATTGAAGTATTTTTTGCTGTGAAGTGTTTATTTACTTATATATTTATTGATTGTATTGTTTAATCAAAATATTATTTAATAAAGTTAATAAAGTCAAAATTTTTAATAAAATCTAAATTTTATTTTTAATTAATGTCAATTATCTCAAATTACATTGCAAAATTTTTGAACGCCTATAAACAGATACTACTAAAATAATCACAAATAAATTGATGTATAATTTAATTATTTAAACAAGAAAAAATGTATTTGTAACAGCTGATTTGCATTTACTATTTTGATATTGACCGTAAATTGTCATATACGATTCACAAATCTTCATTTACTATTTTGATATTGGCCGTAAATTGTTATATACAATTCACAAATCATTCACAAATTGTCATTTACTATTTTGATATTGACCATAAATTGTCATATATGATTCACAAATCGTTATACCAATTCATACAGAAAAAAGGAATTCTGATTGGTGTTAATTCATGCCATAAAATCACCTTTAAATACCCACAAATCGGATGAATATAACCAAAAATCACCCGGAATATTTGCAAACAGGTTAAGACTATTTTTATTAATTCGACTTGTGCTTTTATTAGATAGTACAAAAAAAAATGATGGTATACGAACAGAAATTCTTGTAGAATTTTTTAACCAATTACAGTTAAATTATTTACAATTTTTTTTAACTGACAAGGATTTCGCTCATAGTGAATCAGATATTGTATTAATAGAGAATGATAATATTCAAAAAGGTACATAATAGTAAATATATTAATAATAATCTCTGATAATATTAATGATATTATTTTTTTAATAATAGGTATTTTACAAGATGTTACGAATATTGAAGATGATGATAAAAATGAAACTGATAAAATATTTGATGAATATGAAGAATGGTTAAGAAATAATTCGTAAACAAAGAACTTTTGGTAATTATAGATGGGCTAAAGCAATAAGAAATAGTTTGGAGGGGGTTCATAAATTATATTCTGATGTAAAAACATATCAAAAACGCAATACCAATCCACGAACCTGGAAAGATTTTAATAAACATACTATGTTTTTAGAATAAGCTGTTTTTTATTGTTTCTAATATGGTAATATTTTTATTATATATTTTACGTTGTAAATATAAAAAAAAACCATAATATACGCGTCTACATACCTTTTGAATCTTCAAATTTTAACTTTTAAGACATCGTGTTATATTTTGTGAGAAAAAAAAGATCAGTGATTGATATGCAGTATAATTATTTGTTTATCCAATTAATGATAAGAATATGTGCCACATATGTGCCACAATATCACGTGATCGAAGATTTCTGGGGAGTTGTCACATGAGCCTAAATTCACTCTAGACTCTAGAGTGACACCATTAACAACCCTAGTTAAAATTAATCATGATAATCTTCTTTCTTTTCAAACAATAAAATCACTTCCAAAATCAGAGTTAAATATGTTTTTATTAGGATTACTCCATGCCATGAAACGTTCAGATCAAACCCATCATAATAAAACTGAAAAAAAATATTTAACTATTAAATATACTTTTGATGAAATTGAAATTTGTGAAACAACTTCTCTTCATATTTATTCACTAAGTAAGAAAAAATGGAAGATGATATCAAATAAATGGGTTTAAACCTATATTACATGGAAATAAAAGAAGAAAAAGTAGTCATGCTTTAACATTTGAAACAATTTTACATATACTTCGTAGAATTCTCTGCAGTTTTAAACGGCATTGGCATTTTACCCCAAAGAAGAAGGTAAAGAATATGTGAACCTTGACGGAGATTCTACCAATCTAATCTCGAATGGTATACGTCGAAAGAAAATACCCAACACGCTGTACGCACTGGACTTAACCCTACCAAACATGCTGTCAAGTAAATGTTCGATGATGGGTCTTTCCAAGAGCTCTCATTCTTAGCCGAAGCGCAATATATGACTGGAGTTAAAATCAAAAGTATTAGTTATTTATGTCGAGGTCCGTGAAATTATACTGAAAATTTTCGTTGGGAATACGTGAATACAAAGCATTATTAGTACCTCATGTTAATATTACTGCATGACGTAACTCGTCATTGCGTTAATCCCTTTTGCAAATCGCGGCGGGTAAATAGTTTTTTTGTTATACGCAAGAGACAAAATAGGACCCTGAAATATATATGTAGAGGTCAGGTCCAGAAGTGGTCCAAAATACGCATTCTTTCAGGGCCAGAATTACGATAATTTCAGCCATTATCTAAATTAGGAAATATTATTTTGGCTGGGATTATCCATAAAAGGAATGATCTACATGATTTTTTTGACTCATTATACGCAAACTCTGACCTGACCCTTTTATGTATATTTTGGGGTCCTGACAAAATGGTACTTTTTAGGTGATCGACCTCAGGGCGCAGTTATGACGTCAGTGATTGTACAGTACATAAAAATTTTTTCTCGATCTCTCTGATCGAACAGTTTTTTCATAATGCCAATAAGCAACATAGAAGAAAACTTTAAGTTAGCAAGGAATGCCTTGCTAGATTTTGATAAGAAAGATATTATAAGGGAAAATTCAAAAGAAGAGGTTACAGCAGAGGAAACAGGGCCAAGAGAAATCGTGGTTTTTTATGACGTGACACTTGAAAAATATCATCAAAAGTTTCTTCAAGAACATAGAAGGTTTAGTGTTTATGTCCGTCTAGTTAAAGGAAAAGTTATCGCATACGAAATTCCTAGTCCTCCTCATGCATCTTTAGTGGCAGATTTGATTCCTATTTTAGCAGGTTGGACCAACTGCCTTAAGATTTATGCTGAACTAGACATGATTGTTGGTAATGAAAATGATACTGTAAATTGCGCTGATATCGTAATTGAACCAAGTCACGTTCTGGCACCTGGAACTGGATATGTACCGCGGCCGAGAATGATTATAGAAGTGGGGAAAACCGAGACTATCGAAAGTTTGAACAGTTTGGCGGGAGAATACTTTTCTAATTCTGTACAAAGCAGTCTTGTTCAAGTTTATTTGTCGATTAAGATGTTTTCGCGTCGAACAAATGATACCGTTGCGATGGTCACAACGCTTTATTTGCGTAATAATCAGGTTCCAAATTTGGCACTAAATCAGCCAAACCCCCCACCAAACACTCCACCCACGGTACCAATGACAAATACAATACCAAACCTCGTAATTTCGTTTGGGACTGCGCCTCTCCATCAAGTATCAAGAACTTTCATTAATAATATCGGAGTACGAAATGACAGAATTATTGGCTATTTACAGAATGACGATCCTGCTTGTGTGGCACCCGGAATGGCGAATTATCAAATAAATATACCTTCACATTTACTTTTCCAAGGTTATCCTGGAGGTGTGCCTCATGAAATACCAAATAATTTCATCTTGGATTTGTGGAATGTACAACAATACATTTTGTATTGTTTGGTGAGTATTGCTTTCATGCTTTTTGCTGTTACATTATTATTGGTATTTCCTAATTTTTTTTTATATTTTTAGTGATAAATTAATCTATAATGGATTTGAACTAAAATTAAATAGTTTGAGAATAAATGTATTTTAAAAAAATTCATGTAATAATGCAAAATTAAACAAATTTTTATTGGTATAGTAGTTCATTAAGAAATAAATGAGACTGATTGTATACAAGTTACATGACCATGTTGAGAAGAATTCCCATTACAGTCATATCATGTATATTTCTTTACACTTGCTCCAAAATAATATACTAAACATTTTAAGCATAATGCCTTGATAACATACTTCTTTTACTACATAATCAATTTTATCCCAGCCTAATTTCGCAATGCCCAATGCAGTAAAAGATCTTACCTGTTGTATTTTATCAGATCCGATGCAATGGAAAAGATCATAAAATTTCCTCACCCTTTCAGTTTTTTTCTGAAAAGTAGTTTTCATTACCTTATTTGGGAGCTGATCTCTAACTTCATCATTAACCAGTTGAGCCTCATGTTCTTCATTGTGGTAATCAAGGCATTATGATAATTCTTCTCCAAAATAATAATAAATATGAATGACTTCTGATTTGAGACTTCATGTTTATCTTCAGCAGTGGTAATTATAATGTATAAATAGTGTTCAGATCCAGTTTGTTAATGAATAAACTGGATCTATCCATTAGGAAAATTTGATCTGGATTAAGGGTAGAGGGATCGACATGGCTGATCATATGGCTAAAAAAAAAATCATTTTTTTTTTACTTCGCTATAAAGAAAACTCCTTCAATATTCTATGTAAAACTGTTGAAAGCTAGAATTTCTGTCTTTCAAATAAACTTTAGCAAAGTATAGTACAAATAAGGTTTATGACAAAATATTACACTATGAAGTTGTCATTAAATTGCGAATCTCCTATGGTAAGTTGCGAATTACCTAGAGAACATATCTTCAAATCAACTAACTTAAAACTTATAAAACTTTACAAGCTAATAGAATAATAAAAAAGAATATTTTGTATCAAAAAATCATTGTGCATTACTTATTCAAATAAAATTTTTTATTAATACCATTTTATTTTTTATTATTAGTCATATTTGCTTTTAAAAGTCCAAATACACTCAAAAAGACTAATAGCTATACTTATCAGCGGAATTGAATTTTTGAATTATGATAGACGTAATTAAAATGCCGTAATTTGCCGTAATTATATGTTTTACACTAGTTGAAATAGTCCAATTCGGCCAGATTTCGTATAGGCAAATTTGACCCGAATTATGGCTAAAATTTGGCCGAAGTTAGATGAATCTCTTAACTGAAAGTTTTTATCGAGTGTTACCATTCAGACTGCCACTCGTCTAAATTTTAGCTAAACTTCGGAAGATTTTGATCTACCATTCGCATGACTTTCAGAATAAAAAATCGTATGGTGGCTGTCACCTATAAACCACACTAATATTAAGTGACTTCAAATTTTTATAAATTGTAAATTGAATAGTAAAAAGAAAAAACTAAACCGATAAAATGATATAGCAACATGTACTGAACATTTCTATCAGATTATTTTATAGAATTTAATAAGAATTTTAATTAATATTATGGGTTAAAGTTGGATAATTTTAATAAGTAGCAATAATAAAAATATAAAATTTCGGACTAGTTTTCATGTAATTTTTATGGATTTTACAAAAATTCCATGGAAATCCACAAGAATTCCATGTAATATGGCAAAAAAAAAATTTTGCCGCTCACACGGCAATTAATATTTTGACAAAGTACTTTAAAATATAAGTTACACAATATAAATAAATAAATTTCAAAATTTCGGACTATTGTTGTTTATAGGTGACAGCCACCATATAACTTTCAGATAACATTCATTATAACGAATACTTAACATTCGGTCAGCTTTTAAACGCAATAAATTGTTATTTATTTAATAAAATATTTAATACTATATATTTAATACTAATTTATACTAATTATTATAATGTTCAATTTATATGCTACGCTAATAATAATATATTATAAGAATGTCCTATTTATATAATATAACACCTTCAAGACGACTTTCGTCATCAACTTCATTCACAACGCTAATTTTTTGATACAATAAACAAATAAAATAAAGGTTAAAGCAAAATTATACCGAAATAACATCGAACGTTAAATTTAGCGAAATAACATCGAATGTATATAATAATTACCAACACTCCATTAAAACGTGTCAGCATCATCGTACATATAGTCATCGTATATACTCTCGTATCCTATATCAGAATCATATACGACATTACCATTTCCTGGTTCTACACATGTCCATTGTGGTGCATCGTTCGGAGGTTGGACGTCAAAATTTTGCAACGTATCGTCATAATTTCTACGTCTGGTTAGTTGTGCGTTTTGTTGTGTAAATGAATAAAGATCCAATACTTCCCTAAAAAAAGTTTTTAACTAGAAAGAAACAAGTTAGTGTAAATCTATAAATTACTATAATAAGTCAAAAGTTAGTACATACCTCCGATGATCTCCATGATCGATTATACACAACTATTTGACATTTTTCCAACGCATTTTTCTCATCTGTTTCATTCAACTCCGGTGAATGATATCTGATATCTTGAATGATATTGATCATCTCTTATTTTTCATAGTGAGCGATTCTCACGTCGTCTTTATCATATAAAGCTTTGGCAGCTTTTAGTCGATGAATTTTTTTCTAAACGCAAAATAACATGGGTAAAACGTTTATATTTAACTAAAAACAACCAAAATTCTTACGTCGTTCATCCTCCCATTTGCGTGTAGACGATGATCATCACTATCGAGTCTTCCCTTCTTCTTGTAATTATTCCTACTTCGTCTAGATTTATGCAACGACATTAGCCATTTCGTCAACTTATCGTAGGTGGGGTTAAAATTCGGCTTTAAGCTCTTCATTAGTTCTGGTATTAATTGTTTTCTTATGTTTACGTTAGTTTTGCTCATAAACGTTTGATCATAGTCCAGGTCGAATTTGGCAGGCATAGTTTTCAAAATGGTCTTCATTTCCATCTAAATTATTAACAGTAATAAAAAATTCGGTAAATATTAGCACGAAACCATTTTTTAAAATATTACTAACCCTTGCATCTTTATCGTCCTTTTCATCCTTATCGTCCTTTTCATCCTTTTTGTCCATTTCAACATCCACGTCAATAATTTC